AATGTCTAAGTCCGGCTTTCCGCGGTTTTCAGGTGCCGCGCGATGTACTGGCGAGACACCGTTCTCCCGCGAGCTCCTGACAATTTTCCGAGAGGAGTCGACGCTATATGATTACATATTCGGATTCTCCATTTCAATACGGAGATTTTCATTATACTTAGACCGACGCAAAATGATTATAGGTATATTTAAAAAAATTTCTAAGTCCGGCCGGCCGTGGTGTCGCGTGCCGCGCGATGTACTGGCGAGACACCGTTCTCCCGCGAGCTCCTGACAATTTTCCGAGAGGAGTCGACGCTATCTGATTACATATTCGGATTCTCCATTTCAATACGGAGATTTTCATTATACTTAGAGCGACGCAAAATGATTAGAGGTATATTTAAAAAAATGTCTAAGTCCGGCTTTCCGCGGTTTTCAGGTGCCGCGCGATGTACTGGCGAGACACCGTTCTCCCGCGAGCTCCTGACAATTTTCCGAGAGGAGTCGACGCTATCTGATTACATATTCGGATTCTTCAGTTCAATATGAAGATTTTCATTATACTTAGACCGACGCAAAATGATTATAGGTATATTTAAAAAAATGTCTAAGTCCGGCTTTCCGCGGTTTTTAGGTGCCGCGCGATGTACTGGCGAGACACCGTTCTCCCGCGAGCTCCTGACAATTTTCCGAGAGGAGTCGACGCTATCTGATTACATATTCGGATTCTTCAGTTCAATATGAAGATTTTCATTATACTTAGACCGACGCAAAATGATTATAGGTATATTTAAAAAAATGTCTAAGTCCGGCTTTCCGCGGTTTTCAGGTGCCGCGCGATGTACTGGCGAGACACCGTTCTCCCGCGAGCTCCTGACAATTTTCCGAGAGGAGTCGACGCTATCTGATTACATATTCGGATTCTCCATTTCAATACGGAGATTTTCATTATACTTAGAGCGACGCAAAATGATTATAGGTATATTTAAAAAAATTTCTAAGTCCGGCCGGCCGTGGTATCGCGTGCCGCGCGATGTACTGGCGAGACACCGTTCTCCCGCGAGCTCCTGACAATTTTCCGAGAGGAGTCGACGCTATCTGATTACATATTCGGATTCTTCAGTTCAATATGAAGATTTTCATTATACTTAGACCGACGCAAAATGATTATAGGTATATTTAAAAAAATTTCTAAGTCCGGCCGGCCGTGGTGTCGCGTGCCGCGCGATGTACTGGCGAGACACCGTTCTCCCGCGAGCTCCTGACAATTTTCCGAGAGGAGTCGACGCTATCTGATTACATATTCGGATTCTTCAGTTCAATATGAAGATTTTCATTATACTTAGACCGACGCAAAATGATTATAGGTATATTTAAAAAAATGTCTAAGTCCGGCTTTCCGCGGTTTTCAGGTGCCGCGCGATGTACTGGCGAGACACCGTTCTCCCGCGAGCTCCTGACAATTTTCCGAGAGGAGTCGACGCTATATGATTACATATTCGGATTCTCCATTTCAATACGGAGATTTTCATTATACTTAGACCGACGCAAAATGATTATAGGTATATTTAAAAAAATGTCTAAGTCCGGCCGGCCGTGGTGTCGCGTGCCGCGCGATGTACTGGCGAGACACCGTTCTCCCGCGAGCTCCTGACAATTTTCCGAGAGGAGTCGACGCTATCTGATTACATATTCGGATTCTCCATTTCAATACGGAGATTTTCATTATACTTAGAGCGACGCAAAATGATTAGAGGTATATTTAAAAAAATGTCTAAGTCCGGCTTTCCGCGGTTTTCAGGTGCCGCGCGATGTACTGGCGAGACACCGTTCTCCCGCGAGCTCCTGACAATTTTCCGAGAGGAGTCGACGCTATCTGATTACATATTCGGATTCTTCAGTTCAATATGAAGATTTTCATTATACTTAGACCGACGCAAAATGATTATAGGTATATTTAAAAAAATGTCTAAGTCCGGCTTTCCGCGGTTTTTAGGTGCCGCGCGATGTACTGGCGAGACACCGTTCTCCCGCGAGCTCCTGACAATTTTCCGAGAGGAGTCGACGCTATCTGATTACATATTCGGATTCTCCATTTCAATACGGAGATTTTCATTATACTTAGAGCGACGCAAAATGATTATAGGTATATTTAAAAAAATTTCTAAGTCCGGCCGGCCGTGGTGTCGCGTGCCGCGCGATGTACTGGCGAGACACCGTTCTCCCGCGAGCTCCTGACAATTTTCCGAGAGGAGTCGACGCTATCTGATTACATATTCGGATTCTCCATTTCAATACGGAGATTTTCATTATACTTAGAGCGACGCAAAATGATTATAGGTATATTTAAAAAAATTTCTAAGTCCGGCCGGCCGTGGTGTCGCGTGCCGCGCGATGTACTGGCGAGACACCGTTCTCCCGCGAGCTCCTGACAATTTTCCGAGAGGAGTCGACGCTATCTGATTACATATTCGGATTCTTCAGTTCAATATGAAGATTTTCATTATACTTAGACCGACGCAAAATGATTATAGGTATATTTAAAAAAATGTCTAAGTCCGGCTTTCCGCGGTTTTCAGGTGCCGCGCGATGTACTGGCGAGACACCGTTCTCCCGCGAGCTCCTGACAATTTTCCGAGAGGAGTCGACGCTATCTGATTACATATTCGGATTCTCCAGTTCAATAAGAAGATTTTCATTATACTTAGACCGACGCAAAATGATTATAGGTATATTTAAAAAAATGTCTAAGTCCGGCCGGCCGTGGTGTCGCGTGCCGCGCGATGTACTGGCGAGACACCGTTCTCCCGCGAGCTCCTGACAATTTTCCGAGAGGAGTCGACGCTATCTGATTACATATTCGGATTCTCCATTTCAATACGGAGATTTTCATTATACTTAGAGCGACGCAAAATGATTATAGGTATATTTAAAAAAATGTCTAAGTCCGGCCGGCCGTGGTGTCGCGTGCCGCGCGATGTACTGGCGAGACACCGTTCTCCCGCGAGCTCCTGACAATTTTCCGAGAGGAGTCGACGCTATCTGATTACATATTCGGATTCTTCAGTTCAATATGAAGATTTTCATTATACTTAGACCGACGCAAAATGATTATAGGTATATTTAAAAAAATGTCTAAATCCGGCTTTCCGCGGTTTTCAGGTGCCGCGCGATGTACTGGCGAGACACCGTTCTCCCGCGAGCTCCTGACAATTTTCCGAGAGGAGTCGACGCTATCTGATTACATATTCGGATTCTCCATTTCAATACGGAGATTTTCATTATACTTAGACCGACGCAAAATGATTATAGGTATATTTAAAAAAATGTCTAAGTCCGGCTTTCCGCGGTTTTCAGGTGCCGCGCGATGTACTGGCGAGACACCGTTCTCCCGCGAGCTCCTGACAATTTTCCGAGAGGAGTCGACGCTATCTGATTACATATTCGGATTCTCCATTTCAATACGGAGATTTTCATTATACTTAGAGCGACGCAAAATGATTATAGGTATATTTAAAAAAATTTCTAAGTCCGGCCGGCCGTGGTGTCGCGTGCCGCGCGATGTACTGGCGAGACACCGTTCTCCCGCGAGCTCCTGACAATTTTCCGAGAGGAGTCGACGCTATCTGATTACATATTCGGATTCTCCATTTCAATACGGAGATTTTCATTAAACTTAGAGCGACGCAAAATGATTATAGGTATATTTAATAAAATGTCTAAGTCCGGCTTTCCGCGGTGTCGCGTGCCGCGCGATGTACTGGCGGTGCACCGTCCTCTTGTAGGTTCCTGAGGTTTTGAGATCTGTTTTTTATAATCTCAAGGGTTGTACCTAAGCTGCTATAAGATTTTGAAAATGCAGTCGCAGCTTAAGTACATAGAAATATCATTCAAAGTCGGTACTTGAGTCTGTTTAAGTAAATAATTATTTCTGATGTAGTGCGCCCTCTAGCGTTCTATTTTGGTTTTCTCACGTTTAGAGTTTTTTTAACTTGTTTGGGCGCCCTGCATATCGTTATCAAATATTGCTAGCGGAACATAGGTGGTCAACGGAGTACTGATTACTGATTAGGTCGTACTGATAAAGAAAAATATAAATAAAAAAGTAATAAAAAAGTAATATTATCGGTAATTTACTCAAGTAAGTTACCTAAAAATAAATTACAGATAATTTTGTATAAATTTCCCAATATTATTACCATAAAAAAGTAATATTACCGGTAATTTACTCAAGTAAGTTACCTAAAAATAAATTACAGATAATTTTGTATAAATTTCCCAATATTACCATAAAAAAGTAATATTACCGGTAATTTACTCAAGTAAGTTACCTAAAAATAAATTACAGATAATTTTGTATAAATTTCCCAATATTACCATAAAAAAGTAATATTACCGGTAATTTACTCAAGTAAGTTACCAAAAAATAAATTACCGGTAATTTTACATAGAAAAATAAATTTCCCAATATTACCATTAAAAAGTAATATTACCGGTAATTTACTGAAGTAAGTTACCCAAAAATAAATTACCGGTAATTACTAATTTTACAACACTAGTGTCGAGTGATATAAACCGTTTTTATTTACTGTCTGGTGTAATCACAGATATTGAGATATCTGTGGGTGTAATATAATCATGAACATTAGAGGATCCTCTAATGTTCATGAATATAATATTATTAATGATAGATAATATTTAATCACGATTAAAGATATCTTTAATCGTGTATTTAATCAATGGAACTAGGTTTCGCCGTTATCGGGCAAATGGTTTTTATCGTATTTTTTTTATTTTTTATCTCTCGTCCGACCAGCAGTTTTCCACTTCCTTGTTTGAACGATTATTATTTCATTATTCTAGTAGTTTACAAAACATTACATCATCTCAATTCCATTTCAGACTGGTACGTCGTCGAATTTCTGTTGGATTTCACGTTCGTTGCGAACTGTCCATCAATAGTCGGCCGTACGGTACTGAGTAAGTTCACGCCCAAGTCCCACTCAGCCGTTGCCACCATGATCAAGTCCAAGTCGTTTCTATCCATGACGTGCTTGCTGAAGGACACCCGGCGGCCTTTGAGCGCCAAACTGGAACCCATCAAAATGTCTTACACCTCATACGAGTCGGCCGCCGACGGTGGCCGAAAACCGCCGATCATCATCATGCACGGTCTGTTCGGCTGCAAGTCCAACTGGAACAGTCTGTCCAAAACCCTCCACAACATGACCCACAGAAAAGTGAGTATTCAAACGGTTGCTGAAACTCGTGTCTAAAGAATTTACTAAAATATGCTGCCTACTCATTTACGTTGCATATTATGTTGTCTCCGCGACCGTATGACGTAGCAAATTTGACACTTGACAGATCACGTTTAGTGTAAAAATTAGAGTGAATTTACATCTTATAAAATGTAAAGGTAAGATTATTATCTAAGTTCTTGGGTATCGTATAGGCTTTTTATTATATATTAATTTTAAAGTGAGTTATGACTTTATTTTAAAATGTACCTACCTACAAACAATTTACAATTTTAAAATACTCATAACTCACTTTAAAACTAAAATATAATAAAAAGCCTATGCGATACCCAAGAACTTAGATAATAATCTTACCTTTACATTTTATAAGATGTGAATTCACTCTAATTTTTAAACTAAACGTGATCTGCTGAGCGTACAAATGTCTATGTCAGACGTTGACAACATATCTGGGTGCTATGTCCTCTTAATGAATATATGAATAATTATTGCAATAGGTAATACATTATTAGGTATGCTTTTATTTTCAGTCTTCAAATAACTACCTAACTATTTTAATTTAATAAGTAATTGGTAATTACTTATCATAGGCGTGCGTAGGGGGCAGCAGAGGCAGCATAGCTGCCCCTGGACTTTCTTTGGGGCTACCGGGGCCGGCAAATATTAAATAATGAGCCTCGGTAAAATTATATTTCCACAAAGGATTTTTTTCTTTTGATAAACTATAGATAAATATTTTATATAGGCTTGTAGAAAAGTACACCTTTAGTGGCTTAGTACCTTACTGTACAACTTTTTATCCAAAAAAACAAATAATCAATACCATTTTAATTTTGATATCCAATAGTAAAAAAAAATCAAACTATGGACGGGTTTTAATGGTGAATTTTAAAAATGGGCCGAATTAATCTCTTGCTGCCCTTGAAACTGGAGGCTGGCACGCCTATGAAGTAAACAAATTTAGTAGACATTAGTATTGTCACATGGTGTTTTTATTTGCTTACATAGCTGATCTATTGAAAAATTTATAAATTATAAATGAACTAATAATTATGAAAAGTTATTAGGTATAATATTATGATTCTCTAACTTTTAGTGTTGTAAATTATGGATATTAATTACTCTTTTAGTCTCATCATAACATAATATTTTAGTATGTGTACTTATAAAGAATTTTAAATGTATGGAATACTAATAAAAAGTTAAGTAAAAAGGTCAAAAACCGACCTTAGATTAGATTAGAAATACCTTCATTGAGTAACAACTATTCGATTAATTTTTATTAGTTAAGAGGACGTATGTTCATAATATATTATGAACTAGGTTTTTATTTTGTTAAACAAATGAACTTTATGTTCTTAAATCATCAAACTGAATATATTCCTAAGACCAATCTACATAATTACTCATTGTTGAATCATATTTTTATAAAAGATTTATTTATTGTTATTTTATCTCCTAAATACTTTTATGTTATCTTAAATTACTAGGTTTATTTTATTCAATGAACTGAATAAATTGTATTTTGGTCAAATGTTAATTGTTTCCTGACGTTACATTGCATTTTTTGATTTGGTGCATAGACATTTATATCATATTTAAACATGATAAATACCTATCTAATCTTAATAATTTATACTAGGTAGTGAATTATTAACTAAACATAAAAAAAAAAAAAAAAAATGTTTTTTACCTATGTAACAATATTTGGTACATAATAACTACCTATTTAATTTTTAATTGTATTATTGTTTTAGAACTAAAAAAACCAAAAATGTCCTTGTCTGGAATACCAATATAACTACTTTACATCTGATAAAAAAAAATTATAGCATTTGCATTAAAATTAAGAATATAAGTAGATAGTAACTATTCAAAATTTGGATTATCAGAATAGATCTAAAATGCAAATATATTTTGGAATAGATTTTTGGAGAAAATGTTAGAATTTTAAGTGTATAGAACAATGTAATGGTCAATGGATTATATTATAATTTTTAAAATGTTTTGTTTCATTTTCAATTTTATATTATTCATTAGGTATAATTATATAATATCATAATATATTATGTACTTATTATATTATTTTGATATCAAAAAACTTTATAATTATTACAAAGCTCTCATAATAATTGTATAATGTGTATTAAATCATATCACATGATTCATTTATAAGATGTTTATATTTTGTTTTTTGTTTCAAGGTAATTACTGTTGATGCACGGAACCATGGAGACTCACCACATACTTTAGAGCAATCATATCAGCTTATGGCTGAAGATGTTAAATTTTTAATGGAAGACTTAGGTGTGGAAAAGGCTTCATTGATTGGTCACAGCATGGGTGGCAGAACAATGATGTACTTAGCAGTCATCTATGTAAGGTTTGTTTTGATATTAATATTTTTATTAATTACATGTCAGCTAAAAACTAATCAGCAAAATATATTTAGCCAGAACTTGTGGAATCCTTAATACCAGTTGATATATCACCAATAAACAGCAAAGAAGTGAGTGATATCCAAAGTGTTATAGATGTCTTAAGAGGTGTTAATTTAGAAGTTAATGGACCTATATCAAAAGTTCGGAAATTGGCAGATGAACATATGAAAAGTTCGATAGAGGTATGTTATGTTATAACTTACAAGTATAACCAATCTGTATTGTTGAGTTCAAATAATTATTATTTAAGCCTTTAAGTTTATTTTTTATTAAACTATATTAGGTATAATTACTTATTTTATATTTATATTATTAGAATTGGTGAGTGTCATTAATGGATGACTTCTCACATCAAAGAAACATCTTTAAATATTTTTTTTTTATTATTAATTGTTCACGTGATTAATAAAATCAGTATTCTACACTAATCACATCAACTAATTGTGCCCCTAAGGTATAAATTGCTTAATTCAAATAAAGCAAAAAATAATAATATTAGGAGTTGAATAGCTTATACTGTTTTTTATTTAATACAATTGATATTAAACATTTAAGGGACCTCCATACTACTGGATTCTAAGGAAATCAGCCTCTAGGCAATCAGCCTTGTCGTTGTATTAGTTGTAAATTATCGTTTGTATTAGTAACCCGCATCTTATTTTTCTAGGATTGTGGCGGTATAACGCGTCGGTAATATTTGATTTTTCAATATTTGTGGTAGCAATACGGAGGAATCTCACACGCATATGTCATTTAATAATTTTGTGACTGAAATAAATTTTTATTTTTCATTCAGACAGACAACTGTAATTCAAACAATACATCCCAACAATTACTTTGATTTGAAAACTGTCAAAATATTCTAATTTTCCACAACATGTACGAGGGATCAATAGAGCCAAATTTTTACAACTGTATTTAGTTGATTAAATATTTAAGTTTGAAATTTTAACACCAATTTTAGCAATCTAAATTACAATAATTAAAAATGTGGCGCCATCGTTCCCTTGTACACATTACGGTGAATCCAAATATTTTTTCAGAATGAAAATTGTGATAATTGTCAACATGTATCATTGAAATTAAAAACTTATTAGTATTTAGTTATTATATGATACTTATTTAAGTTTCAAGGATAATACAATTAAATGTACATTTATATCTTACATTTGTTTTAGTTATGACTTATAACAATTGTTTGTTTAAATTACTACAACAAAATTATATAGATTTTTAAGAACGATATTTCACTATGATATGTTTCAATAATCAATATACTAACGCTAATAAAAAAAATATTAAAAATATTAAATCATTTATCAAATTTTAGTTATTAGCACTGATGGTAATTTAAATTGATTAATTTTCTCAAATTTTAGTAAAAACATCAAAAAAAATTAAATATTTAAACTCCACTCATATACCTAAGAGTTTTTTTTATTTTTATGGTACCTTCAGTTAGTTTTTTTTAATTTTTTAATTTTTATAATTTTTATTTACAATCTGTTACAATAAAATGAACAATAAGTAAAATAGATAATTGAATAAGTGGCTTGAGGAAAGGACGGATTTAAGAAGCCTTCCAGTGAAGACACTTTGTCAGCTGTAAACCTTCAGTTAGTTAAATTTTAAATTATTAATTACTTCGTTTAAAATATCTGATTTTTGTTATCTTTAATGTTTATTCTTCTCTGTGTTTTTTTATTAATTAGGTTAGGTAAGAGGAACTATTTAATTTCTTCATGTCAGATACAGAAATAAATCTTTGGCATGTGGATATGAAAATAAATATATTTTTTTAAAGGAATTTTGAATTTCTAAATTAAATTTAATCCTTGATTTAATTACATATTGGATTTATTTTCAAATTTGAATTAAGAATTAAAATATTGTATATAACAATATTAGTAGAGAATAGCTACGATAGTTATTAATATTAAATACTAAATTATAATCATATGTTTATAATAGTTAATTATTAATAATTTTTGTTTTTATGTTATACAGAGTCCAATACTTCGACAGTTCCTCCTAACCAATCTTATCGAAGTGAACCAAAAATACAAATGGCGTATAAATTTGGAATCCATCAATGCTAATTTCAAAAATAACCTTGCAGTGTTTCCACCTATTGAATCAACATATGATGGTCAAACATATTTCATTGGAGGCGGAGATTCAGTTTTTTTGAAACCGACAGATCATGAAGCCATCAAACAGATATTTCCTTCCGTTAAATTTGATTATATACCTGGTGCTGGTCATTGGTTACATGCTGAAAAACCTAATGAGTTTTTAAAATTAGTCACACAATTTTTAGCTACTGTGTAGAAATATTATTTTTATTTTGTAACTTGTTTATAGGTTTTGTGTTCAATGTTACCTTAATAATACTAAGTAAGTCTTGTTCTGTAAAAATAATATAATTGTTCTTTCATTCAAACTTTTAAGTCTGAAAAACTGTTACCCATTTATTAAGGTAATGGTAAAATTTGTTATTTGAAAATTTCAAATAAATTCCTTTGTTAAATATAATTTTTATAATTATTATTTGATTATTATCAAACAATAAGACAAATAGTATGTAGTCTATATTGACAATATTAAAGAGTTTCCGGTGGACATGGTTACAGAAAATAAGATAGTTATTATACAGACGACTTTTAACAAAGTTAATAATTGGTTTTGAAGAAATTTCTTTTGTTAAGTTTTCATAAAAATTGAGGTTGTGGTCAGTGTATATAATATAATATGTGCTCTCTCCTCTACTGACTAAAAAATGGAAAAAAATGTTGAGGTTTCAACAAACATTGAACGCTAAAGTTTTTTGAACAACTCCACATAAAAATGTTGGAAAATAAATAATGCAATTCTATTAGTTTCTAGAATTTTACTAAGTGAAATAAGTCCCCCTATTCCACCATCACTGGTAAATGTCATATAGTCTAGTCTAGATTGTCTGACTGTCATAGTTTCACCATTATCATAGTGACCCAGAAAACTGAATTGGACACTAATATCAGTCATCCATTCTTTTTATATTTCACCGACTTTCCAGTTCCAACTAGTGCTAGGCACCAAATCCGGATCCATCCGTATCTGGATTGATCCGGATTGAAACTACTGTTACAATCATTGCATATACCAATCCGGATTTATATTTAAGAAAATCAAAAAATTAAATCTCAAATAAAAATACCTCTTTTTATATAATATAACAATATTATAATACACATTGTTTTATATTATTTTAGTAAGTAGTAACCTACCTATTTTATATTTAAAACTAAATAATATTTCTTAGATTATTTGAAGTTGATGAAGTTCTGTATATCCGGAATCTAATTCAATCCAAAGTTTGAATTGACAGTTTAGATCCTCTAATCCTTCATAAATATTCAATCCACATTAATAATTGATGAAAAATTTTCCCAGCACTACCTCCAACCACCTTTTATAAGGATACTGGTGGGTCTTACCCCAACAGTTCTTTTTTTAGATTGTAAGAAATATCATATACCTATTATTTATGGTTGAAATTGGTCTAATTGTTCCAGAGTTAAGCTGTAACGTACTGTCGTATATTGTAGACAGTCGTCAAGATATTATTATTTAATATATATGTAATAGAGGTGGGAACATTTTAAATTGTAAACTATTGACATAGGTCAGTGAAGCAATATGTGCTGAGGCAGCAATAAGATTTTACTATATAAAACCGCCGTACGCGCAGGCACGAGAGTCCCGTTGTCGCTGAGTGATTCGGCGAGGACGTAGGTACGACGGTTGTAGGTACGTGTGAAACGTCAATCATAGTACGGGCTAGGCAATCTGAATTTGCTAAGTGTTTCATTTATGTTTGTTTTAATATAATAAAAGTGTTTCCGACCTAAAAACCCGAGTTGAGTACTATTTCAAAGTCTTCTTCGTTCTTACCTTTAATATTGGAACAGTGCTCAGACCCACACACCTATAGTCAATGAGGTTTATTACAAACTGAACAGTGCTCTGGTTGTGGCGTCCTAATAGTCATTCCGATTTAGGAAACGGACGAAGAACTGACGAAACGCATACCATCGTACCTCAAGGGTTAACAGTGCTAATCTGAATTTATTCTAGAGACAGTCAGCCTAGAGCGTACGAGGGTAAGGTATAAAGTTGGTTTACCGTGTATTATCCGATACGGGTGATACCACAGTACATACACACTTTCATTTATACATAACTTAAACCCGCTACCCGCATTAATTGTTTAATGTTGATTTTCATCTTTTATATAGTTATTTTTATTAAGTAAAAATTTTCTTAGCAAGTACCTTGGAAAAAAGTAATGCAATGTTAGGAGTTAAGTACCAATATGGTATCTACCTAATATTATTAATAATTTTTCTAAATCTTGTTTTGTCGAAGAATTTTGTCAGCAGAAGTTCCAAGCATTTTTATTGTTAAGGTATTATGACTGAAGATTACAGACACACATAGGAAAAAACACTCTTCATTGGTAAATCAATCATTTATCTCAGAATCTAAAATTATTGACTAAAAATAATATTTATGTAGGTACTTTGAAATTTATTGTAAAAAAAGTGCATCGAATTATATATTTTGTTGTTTTTATAGGAAACCCTGGAAACCTTTATAATACCCACGTCGTCATGTGAAATTGCACATAACTTAATTATTATTAAAATCAACATTATAGGTTATGAGGTATTATTTTATTTAGTTGATTTAAGACAGCGCTCGGAATAACTCTTCAGTTCCTTATTTAACTACTATATATAGAAGTTAAAGTATATTAAAGATGAGTATTGTTGGTCAAGAAGAAAATACCCAAAGTGTAAAACATGAAATTTTAGAACGTCGGAAGTATATACATTTTAAGATAAACCAACAATTGTTGTTGCGCGACCTTATGGTGGCCAATTACCAGCGAATGATGGAAGAGTGTGTTGTGTACGAGAAGGAATTGGCAAAGATTCGTTCGGAAAACTCACGTTACAAGTTCGTCGGGAAGTGTCTGATGAACAAGGTCGTAGAATTAACTGGTTGCAGCAAGTTCGCAAAGAATTTGACTGGATCCGGCAAAGACGACGAAGAAGCCGCTTTGCAGTTGGAAGTTAGTCGTATTCTCGTATAATATAATATTGTATACATTACTGATTACTGATTAGTAGGTATTTCTTATTGTTAGGTAGGTAGGTAGGTACCTATTATTTTTAACCTGTTTTTTTTTTTCAAAATCAGTTGTCTCACACAACTTCTAGCCTCTAAAATATAAAATAGGAGTTAGCTGTTACTCAATTAAAATGTATGTAGAATAAATAGGTATATTTACTGTAAAATATTATAAGAAATACAGAAAATAAGACACTGACCACCTATTTCAGAAAAAACTAACGTTTTTGAAAATATTTCTTTTACATAATTGTGGTACCTAACCTGCACTCGACAAATACTACGCTGCTCATCTATACTTTAAAATGTAAATACTTTTAAGTTATAACTAATAAACTATAATCGTCTATTAACACTATTCTGCTTCAGAATATAAAATTATAAAATATGTATATTGTCATACAAAGAATTTAATTTATCTAAACATTTTTTTTTTTAGAAAAACATTGTTTTGTAACGACTTTTATAACTATGTAAAAAATATATGTTCAAAAGCATAAGTAATTTTATATTACATCAGCAGGTATATATTATGGTATTCCTATTATTTACATATAGAGTTGTAGATTAAACTTACCTCCATAGACATAGGTACTATAAAATACATATTATTATGAATACGGATTACAAGTTAGATGCTTTAAAAATTACAAAATAATTTTATTTGAACAAAAATTATGCGACGAATGAAAGTTATTAGGTATACCTATTACACACCTATGCAACGAAAAAGAATTTACCACACGAAAGCTGGTTAGGTTAGGTTACTCGAGTGTATTTTGATTAATTAATATTCCTATGAAACTACAACGTCCCCTTTTCCCGCCCGTGTTTACAGGTGTGTAGCAACAAACTGTTGGCACAGCTGGATACGTACAGGGAGCGAGCCGAGGCGGTGTCCAGAAACTTGGCCGACGCCAGAGACCAACTGGCCAAGGAGTCTAAGTTGGAGGAGTGCTTGAAGCACTGCGCAACAAACTTGACGGTACTCGCCGAAGCCGACCGGACGAGGCGGGACAGCGAAGAGGCGGAGTTGCGGACGACGGCCAAGCGACTGACGGCCGAGCTGGGGGACGCGCGGTCCGACGTGGACCGGTTGCGGGGAGCCGTGGAAGAGATGTCGGTCGTGGCGATGGGGTGCAAGCCGGCGCCGGTCACGTGCAGCGGCGAAGAGCTGCGAGAGGACAACAAGCGGTTGCTGGCCGAGCTCAACGCCAACTTCGCGGAAGAGGCCAAGCTGCACGCCAGGATTGTCCAGTTGGAGATGGCGCTGCAGCAGACGTCTTGCTCGAGGGTCTTCGGTCTGTCATCAGACAGTCAGTGAGCTAGGTGACGTTGTGACGAAAGCGGCGAACCTCAAGCGCACTGTTCCGGGAAGGTATTTTTTCTGGGTACCTACCAATCTACGAAATGAAGTTAAAAAAGTAACAGAAAAGGTATTTCATTGCTGAATTATAACTAAAACAGTACTATATACCTAATTATGTTGCGTTTGTCGTCTTGGAGGTCTATCTATGCTATAGGAATAATTTATGATTTATTGAACATTTTTTTACAGTATAAAAGCAAGCCGTTGAATGATACAAAATTTATCAAATGATATGGCAAATTTTATTTATAGTTTTATAAAATTATATTTTTTGGAATACAATGTTGTACAATGTTGTACTTGGAATACAATACAATCTAACCACATAATACAATTTTCGAACCAATTATGGAATGGAACTATTACGTCTTACATTTATTTTGACGGAAGTTCGTAAGACGTATAAGTTCCATTCCATAATTGTTTCGAAAATTGTATTTTGTGGTTAGATTGTATTGTATTCCAAGTACAACATTGTACAACATTGTATTCCAAAAAATATAATTTTATAAAACTATAAATTTGATAAATTTTGTATCTTTCAACGGCTTGCTTTTATACTGTAAAAAAATGTTCAATAAATCATAAATTATTCCTATAGCATAGATAGACCTCCAAGACGACAAACGCAACATAATTAGATATGTAGTACTGTTTTAGTTATAATTCAGCAAAGAAATGTATTTTCTGTTACTTTTTAAACTTCATTTCGTAGAATTCGGCAGACCGAATACCCGCGAGCAAGACGTCTTCTGAGAAGTTGGCGTTCAGTTCGGCCTGCAACCGCTTGTTGTCCTCGCGCAGTTCTTCGCCGCTGCACGTGACTATCGCCACGACATCTCTTCAACGGCCACCCGCAACCGGTCCACGTCAAACCTCGAGTCCCCCATCTCGGCCAACAGTCGCTTAGCCGTCGTCCACAATTCTACCTCTTCGCTGTCCCGTCAAGTACCGTCTAGTACCGTCAAGTTGGTTGCTTCAAGCCGAAAAAAACTTTTTTTACAAAAAAACATATTAATGTAGTCGACTGTGTAGAAATTGAAAATTGTATAATATATTTACGGTACCTACCTATGGCTATATCTACGGCTACGACTACAATAAATTCATATTATATACCTATAGCAAATATTACGAATGGATAGGTACTATAAATATACATAAATATATAATATTATGTTGTTTGTTATACCATGCCAGTTTGTATTAAGCTATTTTTATTTTTTTATTACAAGCGTATACCCAATCGTTCAGTCGGTGCAAATTGTGTGTACATATATATATATATATATTATATACATACAATATAAACATACTGGTCACAAATAATGGCGTTTTACATAAATTATGAAAAGGTATAAGTATATAGATATAGGTACGCATATTATATATACTGACTCGAACCCTTGAAACAATAAAAAAAAAAAAAGAAACTACAACGAAAACTCAGTATTGTCTGTGTCAATTTTTCATTCGCTGTTTTCAGCATGTCCCATGAAAATTTAAAATCCAAAAATGCATCTGACGCGTATAGTTTGGCATTTTACGAATCCCAATCGGTGTCCATTTAACTGTCACGCTATATTTAGTAGGTAGGTTCCATATCTAGAAATGGCGTTTACAAGGGGTCTGATGGTCGTATTGTCAACAACATTTTTATTTATTTAAAGTTCACTGCCGCCTATACACCAAATAGAATAATACTGTGTGAGCGTAAATACACTTTTCTAGCATATATTACCTACCTATATTTTATTTTATTAGTGTAAAACTTTTATATACCGAATATGATAGATGTGAATATGGCAGTTACAATAGGTAATCAATTAGACCAAAACGGAAGTCTGGTGGTAGAAAATTATTGTTTTGAAAAAGTAGAAAGTTTTAAATATCCGAGAGTTTATATAAATAGCCGCAATAATTACCACGAGGAAATAAAACTGAAAATAAAAGCTATAGTAACAGGTGTTATTGGGCGCTACGGAAAACCTTCAGGTCTAATGAGGTATTATCAAAAATAAAAAAAATACGATTACACAAGGTTAATACTTAATTCGAAACGTGGCCAACGTCAAAAGAGGACGTTGAGCTCAAAAAGAGTCAAAATATTTTCAAAATTGTATGGTGTATAGGAAATGCTAATTTAAACATTCAGTGAAATTTTCATGTAGGTATCTACAGTTATTCGTTTTTGAATTACAACAAAATAAGGAAATCGCTACATGAGAAATCGAGTGAATATCCAATGTTGTAAAAATTTAAATTTCAAACGCTCATAAAAATTTAATTTGACTTTCTTATAGACATTTTTTTTTTTTTGATGAAGGTAGATAATCTTATAAGGAATCTTGTATTACATTTTCAAATCTTGGATTTAAAAAGAAAAATTTTTACGAATTCTTAACTCAAAATAATTTGCTAATTTTCGTGATTTTTCCATATTTTGTTAACTTTTGAACTTTAAATGCTTATTAAAAGAAACAGTGACTAAGGATTTTTAATATTTTTCATCTGCCTTTGATATAATATACTAGCCTTCTTTTAAATTTTCAAGCTTTTTTAACCAACAAATAAAATGTTATTGATATTTTTAGAAAAAAAACTAAAAAAAAATGGAAAATGTCCCTAAACAGTTCAAAATAAATCAAAATCGTGTATATAAAATGCAAATATAAACAACCAGTGAAAATTTCATGTGTATACGTTCATTTCTTTTAGAGTTACACCAAAAACCAAAATAGATTTTTTGGAAAACCGATTTTGCTTAAAAATTCCCGTTTTTCCTTAATTTTTATGTTGTATTTCTCGGCGCTTGTGAAAACTACTGCGAAATTTTTACTTGTGACCCCCCAAAGTACCAACTAGATTCACTTTCCTATCAGAATAGCTATTGTTGAAGAAAACCCAATCACTTTTACTGTCCCAAAACGTGATGACAGACACAAAAAAAAATAAAAATTATAAAAAAAAACACACCATTGTAAAATCAATACATTCATCGTTTCACTCAGAACCTAAAATACCTAGGTATCAATTAACTCTGATGACTTTTGAAGCAGTCTTTTATGCAGTAAACATAAGCCTTGCTTATATGTAAGTGTATTATCAGAAAATAGATTACATAATGCATTACTTAATTATAATTTATAATTAAAACGCAATACATAAAAAATAATATAGGTATATTGTTATATACTAATATCATTTTTTATTTACAGTGTCACACTATCACATAAATATAAAATTATTTATTTATTTAAATAAAAGAGCTTTTTCTAGAAGTTGAGAAGATTTACCCATTATATCTAATGCTTCTTCTAAATAAGGTGAAATATCTTTTTCCCAAGATAGAAGCATTAGTGATTCCAATCTATTTTGGCCGATGGTTGTTATTCTTAATAAATTCTTTATTATCTTTACCTGGGCCAAGGAGTATATACCCCCCTGAAAAATTTCTAGGGCTAAGCAATTGCATTAGGTAAACGTCGTTCACCACGCCACTGAGTACATGTTAAACAATCAGCCGTACCCCCTCCCCCCATGACAAAATAATTTTACAGCCAACGATAGGCTAATAGGTAGTTACCTACCTACCTAGCTACTACAATCTGATAAATATATATGATTTATAATTTATTATCACTACGGCTTGACATACCTATAAACAAATAAGATCACACAGACACAATAGGTATTATATATTATTTATTACAAAGGTGAAGTCAATTAGGTACCTATGGACCTTGTAGACAATAATGTTTACCCATTACAAGATTTTTTTTATTAACTATAGTCATGTAACATTAATTGTGTATTTATGATTTGAATAACTAGATGTAATTTTAGGCACCCAACCGATAAACAATTATCTAGCAAAAATAATAAATATTTTTTTAGTTTTATTAAAATATAATATGCTATATACCAACTCTTAGTGGTATATTATATTATAATCGAGTATTGTCATCAAGTATTTAAATCATGTTTATAGTACAAATTTCTATATTGTGATTAGCATTTATTTTTGAGTTTATAGACTATTTTGAAAATAAAGTTTTGTTAAGAGCTAGAACACCTCTTGTTTATCATGAATCACAATTCTTATTGCAATATTTAAATTACACAAATTGCACAATTTTTTTTTTTATAAGTGTCTGTAATTCACTTAAGTAGTCAACCTATGACTAATTGGAAAATAAATTACTATAGGTAGCAATAATGCAATATACTTTTATAATAAAAGATCCTTAGAAATATAGACTGACAAATGGTCTCTGTTCGGAATTGTTGTTGTATATTATACAATAATTTATCATTGAATTCAAATTTAACCCATCCATTACAGTGACCTACTCTATGAGAATGTACACTTGATTACTGAACAATATAAGTAAAGTATTTGTTACTACCTTACAAGCAACATTTTCTGTATTCTAAGTGTATTTTAAAAATGTCATTCCACAAAATAAAAATATAGCACTAGGTACTAACAAAACATGTATACTTTATTAAAACAAATCTCAAATTATACATTGTCAAACATTTGGGGACATTTTATAGGTTTAAGTAACACCGAAAAAACAAAATCAATTTTATTAAAATCTGGTTTTGAGTAAAAATGTCATTAATTGTCTTCATTTTCAATGACACTTTTGAAAAATACTGGGCATTTATTGCTTTTGACTTCCCAACGTATCAACTAGAATCCCTTTCTTACTAGAATAGATGCTGAAGTTGAAAATCAAAGTATTTTTACTAACCCAAAAGAAGATTACAGAAACAAATATATTATATAAAACACACATCAGAATCTGCTCAGAATCTAAAAAACATATACATGTATCTTATATTTTAGTGAGAAACTTGCATGAACAATGGGGTACAACAGTCAGATAATCCACGAATAAAATATACATTAAGGTTATATTTGAATGTTTATTTTGTAATAGTAAATTTTAAATTATTATATTTACATTTTATTATTTGAATTATCGTAATACCAATATTTAAACAGGTATTCAACAGGAAAAAATAGTAAAAAAAAATTACAATATTAATGAAAAAAATATATTTTGAAAAAAAAATTGTAACAAGTTGTAGGTCAGTCTCGTAAATATTATATTTTAACTGGCAATAGTATTAATTACGGTTCTTAAATCTCTCACTTTTTTCTCTAAATCTAATATTGTAGATCCCCTGCAAAAACAAAAACACATTTTAATACATTTCAACTGCAATACAAATACACTTTGACATATAATATGTTTCAGATTAAAATAGTTTACTTATGTGTACATACAATTCAGATAAATTTCCTTTAATAACTAGTTCCTGTTCAAGAGTTAGTTTTATTGAATGGCCTCCATACAATTGTTTATATACAGCTGCTGCTGATTCAGATTGCACAATGTTCCATTTTTCTCTGGCTTCTTCAATACGTTTATTCATCAAATCCATCTTACTCTTATAAGCTCCCAACAGTTCTCTTTTCTTTTTTATTGATATACTATCAGGTGCTGCTGATACTAGTCTCAAAAGAATCGACGAAGCTCTAAATAAAATGTTATAATACTATGTTGAAATATATATATAATAATTTAAAATTTGTGTAGTTAATTTATAGAAACCAAGCTATCATAACCAATTACTCAAGCCCTAAGGCCTAAATATCTACACCAGTAGTTCTCAACCTTTTTTGATTCATGTCACCTTTAGCCACTAGAATCAAACACTGCGTCACCCTAACTAGATACACGTGATTATCGGACTAAAAGATTAAATATAAATAATACAAACTATTATAAAGATACGAACTTTGAGGTATGTTATGTACATGACAGTGGTGGTATAGGTGTATAATATATTTATTATAAGAAATAATATGATTGTTTTCGAAAAAATTAATTTTTTTAATTTTTTTCTTTTCTTGTTAAAATTCTGCGTCACCCCTAAGCTAGGTCCATGTCACCCCGGTTGAGAACTACTGATCTACACTAATTGAAAAACCTAAACATTACTATTGAATACAGAATTAAGAGAACATATCTCAGTTTGATATTTGTTAGTACTTAAAGCAAACCATGAAAAACTCAAAAATTACCTTTGGGTCAATTTTTCTTGCTTGTTACTAATTTCATCTAATTTTTCAGCTTTATTTTCTACATCATCTTGTAATTTTTTCCGAGCTTCTTCCAATCGCTGCATCTCTTGTAATTGCCTTTCCTTTGCTTTAGCTAGCATGTGCACTCTTCGTTCAATTTCTTCAGAAACTATTTTATGATTATTTAATGTACTTCTTCGCATGTTCATAGTTTGTAAGACCATCTACAAATAATAGTTTAAAAATTAGCTTTCTTTATGTAGAAAAAATAAATAGTGCAATGCTGCATATTAAGTAAAAGCTATATTTACTTGTACTACAATCTCTTTGGGAACATCTGGACCTAATTTCAGAATAGTATTTCTGGTACCATTTTCTTTTTGCAGTAGTGCAGATATAAATGAGCTGAAGTTATCTTTGTCAACCTAAATAATACAAAAAATAATCATTAATATATAAAACAATCATACATAACGTCAAGTGTTATATTTTGTATTTAAACACATCAAAACAAAGAAAGAAACAATTTTGATTTGTTTTATACTAATGTAAATCAAATTTTTAGAGGCATTAAACCTAAGACAATTACAAACAATTTAACTGTGGATTATGATGTGAATGTACAATCTTACGTTTTCAGAACTATCCACTTGGTCTTCAGAAGCAGGGTTATCTTCGTTCATATACATATTAGCAATAGACAGTTTATTGTAATGGAAATCCGGAACAGCCTGAGTAACGACTTCGCCATTGCTCAACAAAGTGACTAATAAGTCTGTAGGAAAGTTTAGGATGGCAAAACCTTTAATAGGTTTCGTTTCACCGTTCATAAGACCCGTGCAAATATAATATTCTACAAAACTTTGTCCTTGTATGTCGGGTGATCCGCGGAAGTCATCTGAAAAGCATATGGAATTTAATTAAACATTTTTTTTTTTTTTTTTTTTTTAATAATCTATTTCACAATACAATTATAGGTGTATTTTTATTAACAATACATCGATCTATGTGTCAATGTCAATTTAATCTTGTTGAGTATATCATCCAATATAAGATATGATACAATTGATAAATATCATACCTATTCAATAAGTGTAATTTTTACAAATGTAAATTTTTTTTTGAAATATAAAATTTAAAGAAAATTACTGACAAGTATAAAATATTGTAAAAATATGAAAAATTAGACTAAAAAATAGAAAAGAACAAAAATGCAAAGTAAAATTGATATATTCTTCATCTATGGAAAATCAATTGAGTTCTTAGCAAATATAGAATTTAATAGGGTTAATGGGGTGAAAATTGAAAAAAGTCATCAACATCCTTTCTTTAGGTAATATTGACTATTATATTAAATAACTTTTATTTTAGATTCTGAGTGGAACGATGTATGTATTGATTTGACAATGATGTGTTTTTTTTTTTCTGTGTGTACACGATAAGTAGTCGAAATAATGATTCAATTTTCAACTTCAGTATCTTGTTCGATGGGAAAGTGAATATCGTTGGTGCAATGGGAAGGTCATCATTTAAAATTCCCAATAATTTTCAAAAGCGCAGTGAAAAACAAAAGAAAAATTAAGGAAGAACGGGAATTTTTATGCAAAATCTGTTTTCGAGAAAATCGATTTTGGTTTTTGGTGCAACTCTTAAACAAATAACCGTAGGTACATGAAATTTTGACTGAATGTTTATATTAGTATTTTATACACACCATAACATTTTCAAAATATTTTGACTTATTTTTAGCTTTTTACAGACATTTTCAGTTTCCATTTTTTTTAGTTTTTTTTTCTATAAATATCAATAAAATTTTATTTGCTGGTTAAAAAAGCTTGAAAATTTAATAGAAGGCTCCTAGTATATTGTTTCAAAGGCAGATGAAAAAAATGAAAATTCCAGTTTTTTTTATAAGCATTTAAAGTGCAAATATTGACAAAATACGGAAAACCCACGAAATCTTGGAAATTATTTTTAGTTAGAAATTCATAAAAAATTTTCTTTTTAGATCTAAGATTTGAAAATGTAATACAAGATTTTTCATAAGTCCTTTATCAAAAAAAAATGTTTACCGGAACGTGAAATTACATTTTTATGAGCATTTTAAATTCATATTTTTACAACATTTGTTATTCACTAGATTTCTCATATAACGATTTTCTTATTTTGATATAATTCAAAAACTCTAGATACATTCAAATTTCACTGAATGTTTATTTTATCAATTTTTATACATGATAAAATTTTCAAAATATTTTGACTCTTTTTGAGCTGTTTACTGCCATTGTCAGTTTTCAAATTTTTTAGTTTTTTTTTCTATGAATATCAATAAAGTTATATCTGTTGGGCCAAAAGTGTAAAAATTTAATACAAGACTCCTAATTTATTTTTACAACATCAGTTGAAAAATATTACATGGGCACATTTTTTTTTTATAAGCATTTAATGATCGAATTTTGACAAAATGTATCAAATTTAAAATTGAATAATTATTTTGTAGTTAAAAATTTATAAAATGTTCAACTTTTATATCTAAGGATTGAAAATTTAAAACAAGATTCCATGTAAGTAGTTTATTCTGCATGTTACCAATAAATCTAAAAAATACACAAGCACAGTTTATTTTTATAGTCATTTTAAGTTCACATTTGGACGAAATTACATATTAAAAAACCTAGTTATTTTGTAGTGATTGTATAATATTATTCGTGGGTACTTGAAACTTCTAAAGTGTACTATTATATATCTATGATAGTATCACGGTTTGTTGTTGATGTATAACGCGTTATAAATACCTAATGGATATTGTGATATGATTAATTTGGAATTTATTATAGGTCAATATTTTTTAAAATACCATAGATATATATATAATATGTCTTAAACCTAGACTGACATACCATCTCCGCTCAGAATCGTTTTTCTTATACAATGATATTATATCATTGAATTCAAATTTAATAGGTTAGGTTAGGTAATACCATCCATTATACATTGACCCACTTGTAACCTACTGTACAGCAGAGAACCTTTTTTTATTTAATAATTATTATGGTCTATACCAGGGTTGGTTTTTGAAAACTCATCCAACAACTCGCTGAGCGGTACGGTGACCGAGTGAACGCCGGTGTTGTGCAAACACCAATATCTGGAGGTGACAGCCGCGTCTCTTTTCAACTGTATCGTGTTGGAGCTGTCGTATTCGCCATTGTCCTCGATGTTCAAGCCCAACTCTAGTTCGATAGTTTCGATTATGTGCAAACTGTATTCGTGGTGATATTCACTGGGCTCATATTCGTCTTCGTTCTAAAACACGAATGATATCGAGAATTCGAGATGTATATTATAGCTTATACAATACAATAAGTAATATAGTTTACTAATTTATTATTTTTAATATAAAGATAGCACTACAAAAGTATTCCGTTCAGAAACGTAAAACACCTACAAAAATACTTGGAAAAATTATTTATAACGGAAACGGTATACGATTATTAGATGAGCTGTGTAGGGTTTATGGGTGTTTATTTTCCCAACCATGCAAACATGACTGACAGACAACGTCCAAGTTTCGTTTACATTAATTGTTTGTTGCATATATTTATATTTAATTTTTTTTTTTAATTTTTATTACTATTGATCACCTTTTTGAGTTGTCGAATACTATATTTTGTGTAAGGGTTTTAAAAAAATGTGTCACTGTCTTCACACAAATAGGACGAGACCAATTTCTATATTCTAATATTGTAATAATAATATTATATCAGATTCCTCTGCAAAAAGTATTCAGGATTTTATAGAAAAATTGTTTTTAAAAGGTGGTTTAAAAATTCGAACGAAATATTTTGTTTCATTTAATCGGTGTATATAGCACCTGCGGGTTAGAAAACAATAAAGAAACATCGTTAACGGTTAATGTATTATTTTACGGTTAGATTAAACCATCGTTAATTATCGTTAACCACAATAGGGGTTAAGCTCGTTTGACAAACTAATTCGACGGTTGGTTTCACTTAATAGTTTCCAGATCTTAGTGGATCAGAAACTTTTGCGGACCTCTAAACTTTTAACATTTAATACCAACAATCGGTTGTTCTATACACAGGTACATCAATTACTACTATACGCAATATATACAACAAACCCCGCAGTGTATATATCATTATGGCGTCATTGACTAGGATTGATACCTACTAACTGTAATACTGGGATTTTGATACCCTAAAAAGTCACACAAACTAAAAATGTATGCAAACATTTCAAGTAATACACTAAGAATAAATTAGGATAGTGTAACGTTTAAAATAAAAACATTTCTTAACTATTATTAAAACAAAATTTTATAATATTTTGTATGATTCAAATGACGTTAAATTAATAGTAAAAAAAACAAATTGCAACTTGAAACCGCCACCAAAATCCCAGACCCACCCTTTAAATAATAATTCAATATAATGAAATAATTATAAATAGTAACGAATGTGTGAAACACTGACTTTGGCTTGGGTGTCCGGCAACAAGAGGCAATTGTACAGTTCACCAAAATTTGACGCTATGACAACCGAGGGCGGTATGGTGTCCATGACAAGAATGGAACATGCGTCCTCGCTGTAGTTGTCGTCGGCGGGTGGGTACATAGTCAGCGGACCTGTTATTTTGGCTGACTTAATGTTCATCGAATCATCGACGGTTGTGTTCATACACAAGACATCACCTGCGAATGAAATTATAATACATTTAGGTTAGTTTAATATCATTATTAAAATTCTCAGATTTTCAAAATCAAAACAAATATACTGTAGTCGTACTGCACATATTGACACCCACCCTCGGTAAAAAAGTTTGCTCGTAATTATGACGTATCCACCCCATTACAATACGCTAACTTGACTACCAAATGTAATTCTCTATACCGTCGGGAATATTTTAAAGTTTTAACAAATCAAAAAACATCAGTAACCGAGGAAATTCAATTAATTTAAATTTAATCTGAAAACATAATAAATATATAAATATATATTAAACACGGCAGCAAATGTTTTATGTTTGTAGCTATAGGTAAACGACATATATTATATTATAATGTTGTGTAGGTATTGAAAAAATGAAAAAAAAATGTATTTTTAATTTTTAAGACAGATCAGATTAAGTACTAGGTTTAATAGTATTTTTAAATTTCGTTAGTCTCTTCGGTACCCCATTCCGCGTTCATATATATTATTTATTTATTTAATTTTGTTTTCTTACTAAGACATACTCGGCTTCAGTGTATCATTGAGAAAAATTCGTGAGGAAGCCCTATTATAATATTATACAGGGTTATCTTACCGTTTCCTTGCAACACGAGTATGGGCCACATGATTGACGGGTCGGATTGGATTCGGCTGCCGAGGAGTACAGGTGGCGCAAAATCAAGTCCCACAGCCGTGTCGCCCAGCGAAGCCAATCTCGAGAAGTCTGTGGCCAAGTCGCCAAATGGACACGAGCTTACCGGTGCCTTTGTCAACCTTGAACAACCGCAAACAGTTTTTGTTGTTTGTGAGTACCACGAGGTGGTTGTCCTCGGGGCTGCCTGGATACCACCGGACTCGTTTCACGTCCGTCAAGTGTTTGGTATGAAGAATTTGTCTTGAAAAGCGATGTACTGTGAATAAAATATTATAGTACCTTTGTTTTAATTTTTTTTTTTTACGTATACGTAATTGCTATAAAAACTATAATCGCCAAACTATAATCGGCCAAAATCTTCACATATGGTTCCTTCTTCACTTTTATAGTTTTTTTTATTTTTAAAAAAATGCTATTATGCAATGCTGATATTGAATAGAAACTATGTAAGTAGGTACCCATATATTTTTGATCGTCTCATTAATTAAATTATACACGAATTTACTATAACGTTGTTTATAGAGCGCATTTACGTATTTAAAAAATGTTTTCTGGCTTTGTTAATTTAAAACTCCCCCAAACGTTGTCAAAATATTATAGTTAAAACGTATAATAAATATATATTATTTTCGTAAGTTCTCCAGGAAAACCATTTACACAGAACCTCGTGATGTATTGTTTTGATACAGTTGTATAAATTATATGAATTCGCATCAAAAGAGCGTAATTAAATTGCTTCTTTTATATGATCGCATAACTTAATGAACTTTAAGCAAAAAATTGAATAGAGAAATAAAATCATCAATATAACTATAATACAATATATAGACAGAGTAGAGAGACAATTGTAAACAATTAGAAAGCGAATATTTCGTGTATGAAATTTTAAAAGAATTAAGTAATTCGCCCCGTAGCGTTTAATAACGCCGTAAGACGATTACGTCGTGTATACGTACGCGGTGCGCTTGGATACAATAACGGATGTTTAAAGCGCACTTGGAAGTTTACCGAGACGGAGCAAATTTGAAATTGCGATGACGACCTAAGTCGGTCGTTGACAGAGCAAAAATGTTTTTGTTGTTGTATTTTTTTAACAACGACTCATGTACGGCATATAAGATAATTTGCAGAATATTCACTCGGAGGGTTCATCTCGGTCGAAATGTAATTGCACGCTGGTATTTTCGTTCGTAAACAAATACGAGGGGTTTCAGATTTGCTTTCCATTCTAGTGAAATTCATTAGGAAACCATGCGTTTTACAGTCATTAATAAATCAGCCGAATTTCGAATAGAAACCATATACACAGTTGTTACAATTTGTTAAGTCAATAAAGTTTAACGTTATTAGTAAAGTTCGCGTGGCTCCGCCGCGAGGTGCAGAGGCGGATATGATGGTTCAGTATATTATATACAAAATACATAATACACAAGAATAGGCATATATTATAGTATATGGTACCTGCAACACGGAGTTCACGATTATGGAAGTGGACTTGAATAAAATTCTATCCGACGACAAAACTCCTCTCCAATGTAATCTTATTGTTATTTAATATTTAATAAACAATTATGTGCCACAGCAGCAGGACATACACAACCAAACGAGTGTATTAAAGCATTATAATATTATAATATATAGATGAGTTAGTGGAATACATATAAGATGTTTGGACATATTCCTATTCAACGAATTAAAAAAAAAGGTGCTCTGCTGTACAGTAGGTTTCAAGTGGGTCACTGTATAATGGATGGTATTAAATTTGAATTTAATGATATAATAATATAATTGTATAAGAAAAACGATTCTGAGCCGAGACGGTATGTCAGTCAAGGTATTAGACATATTATATATATATCTATGTTATTTTAAAAAATATTGACCTATAATGAATTCCAAATTAATCATATCACAATATCCATTAGGTACTTATAACGCGTTGTAAATCAACAACAAACCGTAATACTATCATAGATCTATTATAATAGTACACTTTAAAAGTTTTAAATACTCACGAATAATAATATATAATCACAACAAACTAACTAAAATAGAAAAAGTAAATGTATACTATTTTTGTGCACCTATATTTTTTTCAGTCATTATTTAAGGCATTCTATTCAGCACTATAAGCAACGCGATAAAATAATAATATGCAGTGAAAATTATTTACATAAAAAAACAAAAATAGTCAACAGAAACTCAAATTAGCTGACTATTGATAATTGATCGAGATGATAATATATAAATATTTCATTCGAATAAATTATGCACCCATAAGCTAGCTGTTCACCCCTTTTTTGTTTTAGCATAACCTACTTTTGTTTTTTGTTTTTATCACGTCCATCGCATTATCGTAATACCGTTCGAGTATCTATTATTAGTGTGTATAAATTATGTACAAACTCTAATTTGTTTTTCACTCGTTTCCCGGCCGTCAATTAGTGCTGAATGACACCGAGCCAACGTCAATTCGTCCCTCTTTTTACCGATATTTCGAAAACGTCAGGAGCACAAAAAGGGTGTGTACTCTTGGCAAGTCACGCCGGATGTACCGCTTTGTTGATAAGCGAGCGGATTTGATTGCACGTTACTTCCGGCCAAAATTGGATGAAAAGTAATCGGAGCAAAAGATTTTTGGCCCAGTTTTAATAAAACACGCGTTAAGCAGCCGAGTGTACACACCCCTCTCGGAAAAAGAACCAAACGGAAAAAGAAAATGCGCGAAATGAAATATATTATTATAAAAACTTTTGGGTATACCTACCTTAAAAATTTCGTGCTTATCCTGTCATAGATAAATAAAATATCGTAACTCATAAAGTACCTATTACGAGACCACGTATATAAAGATAATTAAATATAATTAGATTTTTTGAAATAGTTATTTCTTAAATGTTCTTAGTTTTGTCATATACGTATTAGGATTGTGTAAGTACAAATAAAATAAGTAATTAATTATTCTTTTCAAATGTAAAAATATGACTATAAGTACAATTTTACAGTATTATATTATAATATTATTCTAGTTTACCCGTGTAAGTACTGCAACAATTGCATCGTTATAAACAATGTGATAAACTAACAGTGAAGCACATAATTACTGAGTGTTATCAATATACCGAAGATTTAAAAAAATACAACATCCCACCCAACTTGTATGAAGCTCTAGGACCAAATAGTGAAAACATATTATCGAACATGTTAACCTTCCTCAAAAAATCCGACAAAATTTGAACCTACTGTTAAAGAAAATTATAATATAAATATAAATTTAAATTGTAACCATATATAATGAACACCATACAAATACTGTATTTTTAATAATGACTATGTAATTTTGCACAAAACTAATAACCTTTGTTGTTGATGTTTTTTTAAGTTAAATAAAAAAAAAAAAAAAAAAACAACAATATAATATGCTCGTAAGGTATGTGAAAAAATTGTTTTTTGTATGTACCTATGTTGCGAAAACCATAGAGACATCAAGTTAGGTGTTTATTTATTACGTTTTAATATATTGAATGTCTGAAAATTTATTTGATGAAGGAATCATTTTCTACGTCCTATAGTCGTTTTATGTTGTTATATTAGCAAAAATATGTTTGTTAGATGCGTATCCATTAGGCACAATTGCCCATGGTGTTTGTGAGTTGCGTATTCATTAAAGACGTTGGGAAAGGTAAATTTTTGTTTTATTTAAACGTAATTTTTAAAGAAATAGGGCATTTTAAGCGATGTCAGAAGTGGAAGTTATAACGTATATCGTTTAGTGTGCGGATTATTGAATACGGTGTCGTATTCATTGAGAAAAAGTGATGTTGACATCAGAAATAATATAATTTGTTATATGATGTTAATATATCGATACTCAAACGTTGGATTGATTTATTTTTACAACATTTTTTACATTCATAACGGAATAATTAATTTTAATTTAGTATAATATTTTCAAAGACATTCATTTTAGACTGCATTGCAATATTTGGAATAATTTCAAAACACTATAATTATTATAGTGTTTTGAAATTATTCATTATAATATTATTGTGTATAGGTACGAAAAATCCTGGAAGTCGCGTACTCATACATATTTTATACTAGATATACGACGTCTATTTGATGCGATGTCGACGTCTGCCTTTGCGTGTGCATGGCGATGGTAGTCGTATTATATGGTCACGGTATAAAAAGTGTGTTTGGTGGTATCGATTATCGGGAGCGGGTGGACGTTGCTGTGTCAGTGGCGATGGCGTCGGCAACGGTGCCTTAATAGCCGGTCCATTAGCGTAAAAGTTAATCGCCGTTCCGGTGCTCGTAAAATACACTCGGCGCGCCAAAAACAAAAGTATGTGGGCATCATCCGATACTCGGCGGTTCTTTATTAAACGCTTTGCGTGTACGCTCACGCTCAAATAAAGTAAATAGCGACAGACCGAGCACAGGACTACATTATACACTATACACGCGGGTCCTGTCGAGACATCGGAAGAGGTATCATTAAGAATCGCTGCGGATCACGAGTGCAGGGGCCCCAGCTTCCGGCAGACTTATATTATAACGCACGGGCCACCCCCGCGAAATCCGTCGTTCCGCCCGGCCCCCGGATAACCTATAAAAACCCGTCATCGCCGTTTCTTATCGAAAGAAGTTTCGTCTATTATTTATGGAATTCATTAAAAGTTCTCCGAACGACTCGACCCTCGATCTTCTCTGCAGCAGCAGTAGCAGGAGCAGCAATAGCAGCGGGAGCGTGTAGGTGTATAATATGGGTACACCCCCCCCCACAAACCCGCGCCAGCGGTGCGATATTACATATATTATATGGATCGCGGTGTGGTTTTTATAGGCGTTCAAAAGCCCGAGATAGTGGATTTGACGTGCGTGCGTACGTATTAGAGACAGCTGAAAAGTAGGTATATATATATATATATAAATAGGTATAGTAATATTTTATAGAGGGCTCGCGATGTTCGGAAAACCTCCTACCTATATCACGAATATACGGTAATAATAATAACGTCGCAGTCGTGAATAATAATTACTTATTAGTTAGATTTATGTACATATATATATTATATATATATAAATACACCGTCAAAAGAACATAACCCCGTAGGTATGACGTATAAATATATGTAACAATTATTTCTGGTCGTACATGTCGTTTTGTGTACACCGAGTCACTAACGTCCCAGTTTATGTGTAATTTGCCGAAAACGGTTATTAAATATATTGTATTGTTCAATAAACATCGTTTGGATAGGTATTCGAAATGCCATTAAAAATGTACAAATGTGTACTATATACCACCGTACATTATATAGGTAGTCGTTACGTTATTAATAATTATATTATTGGTTTGCATGCAAACACGGAACACGCTCATTACTTTGATTCATAGATTCAATTCATACATTATAATAAGAAAATCTATACTCTGGTCTCTCCTTCACTCTAAAAATAATCGAAAATACATTTCTCAATTAATCGTGGTCTACATAATATAAATTACCTATAAAATATGCATACGTGGTATGCTATGATATAATAATAATAATATTGCCAACAGTTATTTGCTACTTATTTGTTTTTAACATTATTACAACTTAAACAACGATTTGATAAATAAATATAAATACTAGGTATAGAGAAAAATGTGCATTTTATAAAATAATAAATTTAATTTTAACTTTGTTTTCAAACTTTTCCCAGATTTTAGTATAGTTTTATTTTCATTATCAAAACAAAATTCTTTCATGACATTAAGGTCGGTTTAAAATATTATCTTAAATATATATTATATAGCTTTGTTGTATTATTTGTATTTTAAGTTCAGTAGTATTATAGATTACCTGCGTTACTAAATGCAACAATATATTATACCTACATATACACTTTTATTCTGTTTTAATAATTTCTGAAGATGAAATCTAATATACCCTTTTCACGCGGCCTCTGCAGGTAACACTAACACAATTGTCAATTATTGTAAAAATACATAATTTATAAGCAGAGAGAGCAATATAATTAGTGAATCGTACAACACCCTAATACCCTATATATAGCGTGGTGATACAAAGGAAAAGATTAATGGAACTTGAAACTCGGAGAAACAATAATGACAAAATATTTAAATCACTTTTTCAGTTTCTATCTAATTATCACAGCATTTTAACGTTCTTCCCGTGACCAACCAATCAGTAACCATATTGATTGCTAAAGCGCCATTTTTAAATTAAGTTTGAGTTATACTTAACTATTATTGATAGGTACTAAAAAATTGTCTATCCATTTATATTATGTAATATCCATTATTCCTATTAGCTATTTATATATAAATATATATATAATATAATCTTATTATAGTAACCATACGAAATTACACAAACTAAAAATTTAAAATACTGAACAAAATTACTTAAGATATTTACCATAATATTCATAACCTTTTCTCGATAAATATCTAAATTTGATGGATATAGTACTATAGTAGGTATAGAAATTAAAATGTTAACTATAAGTTGTCAGCTTATATTGTATTTTTATCTACAGGGAATATACATACAGGATATATTATTTTATTTTATTATTTACCTAATCATTTTTGGTTGTTACATACCTATTGCAAAACTGCTGAAACTTTTCTAGGTATTACAAAATTATAGTTTGCAGTTTGTTCAAGAGTAAATTGCAGTGAGATGTGTACATAACAGTTGGAAGTTGGAATTATAGAAAACGTGGCAATTTAGACTCGGTTATTATATTGTGCATCCAATTTTATAATGTTCCATACCAATTTAAAACAAAAACACTAAAGTAGTTATAGCCACTAAACATTACAAAAGATTGTACTGAAAATTATACTAATATAAATCCATTTGATATTACCTTTTTTCAATACACATCCAGAGACCACCCCCGACCCGATTACTTTAAATTGTGAATCATCAAGTTTTTACGTTTATGAGTAAACTATAGAATTACTTATTAGATAATATCTAATTGTACCAATTTTTTTTTATATACGAATGCATAATATTATTTATTGGACGCTTTGTAACAGTAAGACAAAAGTTTTCCAAGCACTTATTATAATTTTTAATTGTCCGAGAGTCTATTAAATATTGATTGTAACGCAATATTATTATTTCCCAACGGACGGTAGGCGGTGTGCTAATAACAATATCCAAAAGTCCTAAACAAACTACTGCGGGATTTTTAACATTAATCTCACGTGCTTTCATTTATACCCTTTGGACCCTGGGCAACCACCCGACACACAACAATAATGTATAAATTCTTAATTTATTATGCGACCGCGAAACTGGCCACCGAAAGGAGGCATATATACATTCGCGATTCCTGCGGTCAGATTGCGGTTGGTGGAAACGGGTATATTACACACAGAGAATACGTATGGATTTAGAATACTAATTTTAATATTTCACCAGTAGCCAATCCGGAACTCGGTTTTCCCAAAACCCCTTATTATATAACCCTATGGTATATACCTATCTATCGTTCCAGTCCCTCTAAACGTCCTTATGAATACCGCTATTTGGTTATATTATAGTCTCACTTTCAATGGAGATATATTTCCTCTAACGCGAAATTTCCAATCATAAAAAAAATTAGATTTTAATCTTTATACGTTCATTTGTAAATACTATATTCTTCTTTACAGACTTTAGTATTATGCTTATGGTCTAATAAAGTGTAGGTATTTATAAAAAAAACATTGATTTAAGTTATGCAAATGATTTCCTATAATATAATAATAGGTACGTGCAATTAAATATAAGCTACCTTAAATATATTGAGATTTACTTGTGAAACAAGTTTAAATTTTATCTTTAATATTAATTATTTTGTTTAATCGGTTATGTTAGGAGTCGCTAATTATGTGATGTATTGTGTCGTTTCAACCATACATAAACCGATTATTATAATCTTCAAGTTAGGATATGTAAATGAACATTGTGGGATCTGAAAAATATAAGGTATAAAGGGACAAAATGTATACCCAAATATTATGTCTATATGACTAAGGCTAAAGTTATATACTAACCCAAGAAATTACTTGACAAATAAGACGATAATAAGTATGTAGTCTAGAAATCCATGGTAAATTGTATTTATTTTACATTACCTAAGTCGAATGTGAAATTAAAAATGTAAGTTTAATTTTGAAAATAAACCAATCGGCTTTTATTTTTGAATGACACATATTGAATAAATTAAAAAAAAAAAGAAAAACCGTTTATGATTATATTTTGAATATATTTTCAACAAATATTTTTATTAGATGACCATAAAATAATTTACACCGAATTTTCGATACTTTGAAATATTAATAATTTTCAACAAATTATATAATCATTATGTACATACCTATTACATTAGGTAAATAAAGTTAAAAATATTGCCACCAATGCATTAAATAGCATAACTGTAGATTTACATTGTATATACAATAGTGATTCAGTATAGTGCAGTCAGTGCAGGTAATGTATAAATAAATAGCAATAAGGAAATTAAGTAGATAATGTAGAATGTAGATAATAAGATTATCTATAAAATTTATAAACTATGACTTATGACATTCGTTAATATAACGAATACATCATAATTTTACTTTCGTATAGGTACTTATATACCTAGTATGTTGTGTAAAAAAGATAAAACGAAAAGAATTTATACTGGAAAACTAATGTCATAAAATGCAAATTTGAAAATAGCGTTAACATATAAAATTCTCCTTGTAAAGTAAAAAAAGGGTTTTTAGATATTATTTATGTTTGTTATTGTGTAGCTAAAAAATCTGTTTTAATTTGAGTAGTTTCAGTATTTTATTTTGTCATTATTATTTTATTATATAATTATTTTGCTTAGCTGAACTCATAATTTAATTTTAGATACAATTACAGGTAGGTACATCAAACAAGGTAAAGAGAATATTGTATTAGGCAAGACAATTATAATATAAGCCTGTTACTATATAATATAAGTTGTTAATAGCTTATTTACCTACGTTATATAATTATAGCTCGTACTCTTTATAGTTTACTATATACAGATGAATCCAAAATTATTTACTTATAAACTAAAGTTAAGTGGTTATAAAAAAATTAAGCAAGGGTATTTTATGGTGAAAGGATTCTGGTACAAAACAAAAAACAACTAAAATAATATATACCTAACATATGAACCCCATACGGCGGCGACATAATATGACAACAAAAAGCTATATTATATTAAACGTTATAAGTTTATGTATATAGGGGCGATAATCGAATTTCGAGAGAAAAAAATCGACCGCATGCATATACTGAAACGCGTGTATGACAATAGACTATCGGGGACATAATATTGTTTAGTTCGTATAATTTAGATATTTTTATCTGATCTGTCATACATACTCGTGACGTGGATACGACGTCGGCGGCAAAGGGTTAATTTTCCGGGCTGGCGGACACGCGGGGGCTTTTCCTATTTTCCATAACGTCAAAAGAACGCTCTTGGACTTTTTGACCGTTAATGAAATCTCCTCCTATCAAAGACCTCGCACGTCCTCCGGTCTACACCCAAGTAAAACCCCAATGTTTCTGTCACACAAAGCTATACCGCTTTGAAGCTAATTTATGCTGATTCCCTCGGTTCCAAGCTAGACGTGTACATATAATATATATTTATATTTCTCCTTCATTTTATTATTATTTTTATTACTCTTTTATTTCAGGTCCACACAGCAGAGTTATATTTGCATAATAATTTAGTATAATTTTTACCTGCACGTTATGCCTTCTCCTTGACTGCTACTAGTATCATACAAGGATTTAGACCCCATCCGTTTTGGAAACCTCATCACTGATACGCCTTTGGAGCCCACAAGTGCACACAGCGTACCAGGTTCATTGATCAATATTTCGTCAACATCGAATAGGGGTGGAGATCCAGGGAAGAGTTTCTAGAAAAAAAAACGTTTGGTTACAAAAAAACAAAAAACAAAATTAACAAAACATATCATAAATTAATATATTATATGCACTTAAGCCTAGCCCGAAGGGTAAAGAATATCGCGGTGACCCAGTCGGATTAGTAAGTAAGTAAGGGACATGTGGTGTCGTTTTTAAATACACAAATATACATATTCGCGTATTTGAATGCGAGCTTGTGCGTTTTTTCCCTCCAGGTTTTTGTTCTACGTGTCGTATAATCCTTTTTTGAAAAGGGAAAGGATTAAAAAGCTCGGCATTTACCTTCGGTCGGGAAAAGAAAAATGGAAATCTAAAAAAAACCTATCTCTACGGTGTTGTTTACCAGCATAGCCGCCGATATTACGATTCAGTTTTCGCAGTAAGTTGTCTTTTGAATATAAAATAATACTTAACAATACTACATAATACAACAACTATATTATTACTATGGTAGGTACATTGAATGTCCGCATTCGCATTTTCCCCCAAGCAAACGGCACCGCAGACAGCATGTAGCTGAATTGCCTATACACAACCGCCGTGTGTTATCGAAATCGACAACAATAATATTATTGTTGTAGTTAACCGACCGCCGCCCGTGGCTATACAGAATCGGTAGGACGTTCTTATTCTTTTCAATTTTTCATTTCAATGCATTCGGTTAATTGCATACCCCTTATCAATGCGTGCCACTCGTTGGGTAAATCAGTTTTGGCTTCTTATTGAACGATACAGTATAGTAACTTGCGCCTAACCATACCTCCACTAAAATATAATATGATTCGATAATCGATAATGTAAAAATTGTAGCGTATTACAATTAAAACCATAATTTTTTGTTTTCAACATTGTATTGAATGGAATTATGACTTTGTATCTATATTGTTCTAACTTTTAATTATTATTCACACATTCCATCCATGCAACACTTTTTAAATAAAATAAATAATATGGTGAGTTGATGATGGTATCGAATATCAATTACTACAAATTGTATGTTACTGACAAACGCACAACGAACTTTGAAATATTTAACAGACTCTTAATAGTAGGTACGTAACAGTGAACCGCAAGATTGATACGCACTACTATCCATACTCACGTAGGTATGAATTTAGTTGTTTTAGATGGATTATGTGGAATTTAATATTAACAATCGCAGTACCCACTATTTTAAATTTGTAATATATCTATAGATTTTACTCGGTAGACTGACTTTTTATGAACAGTTATTATTAATACCTTAAATTAGATTAGATACATGAATTATTATTACTGACGACGAAATTAATAAACAATATTAACAAAGGTGCACATAATATTCTATTATTATGTATTATGATATATGATGGAAATTATTGTACAACATGATAATGTACTATCAGTGCACAGTGCACACGCAGTTGAAGTGTTTTATCTCCTTCCTACTACGATGGATCGGCACTACAAAAATGTTGTTACGTTTGGAATGTGTTTCGCCAGCGCGCGCGCGTGTGTGTAACCAAAGGATAATAGCACATAGTTTCCAGTCTCTCGGAAGACATAAATTTTCAGGGTCGTCCCTTTTGTGTGCTCTGCTGAAGAAGGCCGCCGAAATAGAAGCATATACACATACTCACACACGCGCACGCATTACTATCCCGGTGTATATGTGTACACACATAATGTTGTATTAATGAAGAACAAGAATTTCATTAACCAGTGTCATTTTATAATGCGTGCACGGGAGAGAGCAATACATTATCAAAAAGGGGGTCCTCCATATTCGCGTTTTCCCAGTTTTCCCAAACGTTAATTAAAAGGGTAACAAATTGACCGAACCCGCCTACTCCTCTTCCTCCTATCACACCAATCCGTTATAAATAACCACACCGAGCGACGTTTGTTTTATTAGATTTTCCATTTAATTTTCATAAGCACGAGGGACATTATCGGTATATAAGCTCGAACAGCAGAGCAGGATGACATATAGAATTAACACTTATTTACAGAAATTCGATATGCTATAAAACTATTCTAGTTATATAGGTACATAGTTATTGAGCAAATATTATACAATTAATCAACAATCTGAAAACCGTATGCAATTTTAATACGTTGAAAACTAAACGGTATTATTATACTTTAATTATAACAATTAACATAACAACTCATTTTAAATGTTAATATTAGGTACACGCAACTTATATTAATTGTATAAGTACTATACTATAATATATGTATCAATCAATATATAAAATATACGTTTGAAACTGGTATTTTTGTCACGGGACGGCTCGGTCAAATATCCAGCTCACCTTAGAGCAGGTTTGATGCATCGTTCGACCCAAATCTTATCCCCAGAAAATTAAGCGATAAAATAGGAATTCACCATTTCTACGGAACAACTCACTCGACGGTGTTAAAAATCTGAATTGTTTACAAGTTGGATGTAGGCCTAAATTGACTGGCTCATGCATTTATTACACTTAAACCGAAATACACTAAGTACTATATCTAATTGAGCGGCATATATTAAAGGATTTCCCATCTCCGTCAGATTTGTCCATAAAGCGAGATACACTGATGACCGACACCGTGATCAGAGGAACACTCCACCCAAAATCTACCAAGCATCGTATTTTATATTAGTTGATTCGTTTAACAGACGAAGTAAAATAATACAGCTAGATTGACATCTAGCTGTATTATTTACTCGTCAGCTAATTGTACATATTTGTGAAAAATAAAAATTAGTTGTAATTTTCATACGTTTTATATATTAAATGCATAAGTAAGTTGGAATTGTGAATTGTAAACAATATTGAATTTAAAAAATTTTTCTAACGGATAAACTCTACTAATGCGTCATTAATATCTAATAACATTTATAATTTATAAAGACATGCAATAATATTATAATATATTTTTTATTTCGCAGATATAATTATTTTGAAACGATTGTCACCGTTCTTAAGATCGTTATGTTGACATCGTTTATGAATTTTAAAAAATCAAATACAGAGATTAGCTTTTACACATGACAATATATTAATTTTATTTTCATCGCCCGTAAAAAAAATGGCAGTCTCGTTAAAACTTTTAAAACTCACTTTGTAAAAAAAGGCGAGAAGCACATTAAAATCACCGATTTTACGGTCCAAAGATGTGGGTTTTTTTTTTTAAATCAAAAGATTTTCTTTTAACGTTTACGAGTTAGCCGAACCGTTATCAGTCTTTGATTTTTCACTATTTATTCTTTGACGTATTTTATTATTGATAAAGTCATTAGAGGACTCGAGCCGCCAATTACAGTATACAGTCGGTAAAGAGCGAAAATCACGCACTTATAATACCAAAGTAAAAGGGAAAAGAGTGGCATTTTTATTTTTATTATTTTTCATATTTTATTATTAAATTTCCAAAGTCATGATAGGAGGAGGAGGAGCACCCACGTCAAAAACAAATCGAAAAAAAGTGTTGACTTTTTGTGGTGCGTAAGTAAATGGAGTTTAAAAAAAGACATCAAAGTCGAATAAATGATTCTAAAAATCAAACGGAAACACACTCGAAAAGTAATTCAGTGGTTTCGAACAAACGGAAGTGCAGCACGATGAAGAATAGGGTTTTTAATGAACACGCATGTTTAAAAATTAATTGGAACATATTATAGTAATTTTGAAAAACTTTGTGAAATAAAAACGATATATTATATGAACGAGTACATCTATATATGCATATATAATATTATACACGGCTGTAATATTGTATTGTGTACAAACCAGAGGGGTGCCATTGCACATGACTTGAGAAGAAGTGCGATAGAAAAGGAGTAATTATTCACTTGAAAGTAATTTTTTTTATTAAAATCTTAAGTTGATTTACTATTTACAATACGATTTTCTCATGTAGATCAGAAGCCTTGATAATCATAGCCGAGTATACAATTATAAAGTAAAAAAGTCTAAAAACATTTACATTACATTTTCAGAAGAGATGCTATTATTTCGTTATGAAAGTTTCAGTAACTTGTCATAATACAAAAAATGAAAAAAACTCTAGTCCATAGGAACGATACATCATCATTAATGATACAATAAAAATTTGGAATACGACTGCGCAGAGCAAACATAAGTTACAAAGTACCTACGAAAAATAAGGTTATTTAAAAAAATACAGTAAGTATAAGAATATAATACATTATAAATTATATAATTTGTAAATCATCTATACCAGTTTTCAAATCTTAAAGTATACATGTAAAAGTATTAGTTAATTATTTAAAAGTATAACTATAAAACTAATGTTATTGCATGTCAAATTTATGTCATTCAATGAAAATCGAATTTAGGCAAATTTCATTAATGTGTTCACCAGCTAAGTTGATATTATTCTCTAATTTGTTCGACTTTTCCGACCTTGTGTAACATGTATAATATCTATTATATAAGGTGACTTTGATGTCAGTAAACTTGAGAGAATACGCTCGAAACTCGTTTAAAAACGTTGGAAGACGAAGACATGTATACATATATAATCAATCGGGGAGAGTAGAGCCCTTTTTCGCTTCGCATAACGATTACGTTCCGCGGATATTTATTATAATAATATTATAAAACTTTCATCTCCCTCATGGCCCCGGATACGAATCGTTTTCAATTTAAACTTTTATTAAAACATCCAATACGCGGCGGCCTTTACCCCATCAAAGGTTATTGCTTTCTATATGTTCTATATAAAGACGAAATTGGTTACATGAACACGCCGGCGTGGTAGAAGAGGAACAATAATAACATCACACCAAAAACGTTAAGACTACTCTGCTGCCTTTTCATTCTCAACGACAAAGTTCACACCATGTTTTATTTCAGTGAAAATGAGTAAAGGATAGTTCCTTGAGGTGGATTACAAGTATCTCGTCATCAACATTTCACTCAGATAAAATTAATATATTTTTCAAGAAATTTTTCATAAAAAAAATGATTCGTAATTTGAGAAATTATCAAAATTA